CCCCCCCGGAGGTCCGGCGCCGGCCGGGAGATCGGGAGCACTGCGACGCGTGCCAGCCGTGGCGCCCGGCGCGGGTACTCAAGTTGGCGCACGCGCCTCCGGCCCGCCGGGCCCTCATATCCGCCCGCCCGCCCGCCCACCAACCCCCTTTCCATCTGCCCAGACCCCCTCGGGTCTCCTCCCGCCCCTCCCCCTCCTCGCCTCTCGCCCCTCCTTGCCTCCCAACCCGCCTCGCCCTCGCACCACCGCCGCGCCGCCGCGCCCGAGCCCACACCATGAGCCCCGCCGCGGGCGCCGACCAGCAGGGGACCCTGGACCACCTGCTGTCGGTGGTCCGATCCATCCTGGAAGACATGGGCCTCCCGGTCCCCCGGCCGCTGACCTGGGTCACGGTCGACGGGTGGAATGACTTCGACCTGTACGACGTGGAGGTGGTCCCGCTGCGGGATCTGCCCGACTTCTCGGTCCGCCTGGCCGAGCGCCTCGGGGCCGCCATCAGCGAGGGCTTCATGGCCGAGATCAACCAGCTGACCGAGGGTGCCCCGGATGTGCGCTCCCCCTCCCTCCCGACTGCTCTGCTTGCCACTGCTCGGCACCATGCCCGCCCCCTGCTCCCTGGCCCCCGCCTCCCGCTTCCCGCCTCCCGCCTCCCGCCTCCCGCCTCCCGCCTCCCGCTTCCCGCCCCCCGCCTCCCGCTCCCTGAGAACACACGCACAGAGAGAAGGAGAGAGAGAGAGAGAGAGAGAGACTGATTCGACCCCCCTTGCCCCCCTCTCGCGCCCTTGCACACACACACACACACACACACGATACCATCGCCCCAGGACGGCTTCCTCACGTACGAATACCTGCGCAAGCTGTACATGAAGTTCGACAAGCTCGGACAGTCGGCCCGGCCCACGTCCCCGGTCCGGCAGCTGCTTTTGCCATCCGGCCGGCCGCGGCCACTGCCGCCGATGCGCGCGCGCCTGGCCGACACGGCGGCCACGGCTGCCGCCGGCACCGGCGCCGGTGCCGCGCCCGGGGCCCTGGTCCCGGCCGCCGGGCACTCCTCGCGCTCGGTGCTCATGGCGGCCGGCGCGCAGGCCGTCCAGCAGCTCGGCCCCGGCGCCGTGCCCCCCGGCATGGCCGCGTACGAGGTCTTCCCGAAGCATGATGATCACTCGGCCGCCGGGCATTCGCAGCAGCAACAGCAGCAACTCCAGCAGACCCCCCCGCGGCCGCCGACACGGCCCATGCTCCTGGTCAGCTGTGAGAACGAGTATCTGGACATGTCCCACATGCTGGAGGACTTTTGCTTCTTCCTGGACCACACCATCAACACCGTGTCCAAGCAATTCCCCTCCTTCACCCTGGACACGTCGCTCCTCCGGGCCCACATCGGCATGCTGGAGAACACGGCCAGCATTCGCACCGCCGAGGCCGAGTCCCAAAAGTCCATGGTCTTCGCCCTGAACCTGACCATACGCGACATCGAGCAGGTGGTCGAGGCCCTCAAGGAGGAGAAGGCCGAGCTGGCCACCAAGCTGGAGGCCGCGCGCGAGGATGTCCGCGCCAAGGACCGCGACCTGGCCTTCCTCCACCGGGACCTGGACCATGCCCAGTCGCTCCTGGCCCAGGAGGAGGAGCGGCATCGCGAAACCGGTGCGTCTGCCCCCGGCCCCGGGCTCTTGCTGCTGCCGCCGCCGCCGCCGCCGCCGGGTCTTTCCTTGCGCCCTTCTCCCGTCCCTCCCCTTGCCGCTGTCTCTTTGCCTGCCCGCCCGCCCGCCCTGCTCCCCGGGCCGGGCCCCGGCACGCCATCCCAACTCACCCAGCATCACCATGCCCCCTCCCCTCGCACAGGGCAAAAGCTCACGCGCGCGCTGGCCGACAAGCACGAGCTGCAGGACGAAATCAAGAGCATGAAGGCCCAAGTGAGCTTCGCCCGCAAGGAGTACCACGGCCACAAGGATGAGATCGAGCGCCTCAAGAAGGCCAACGACATCATTTCCCACCGGGAGCGCTTCCTCCGGAAGAAGCTCGAGCAGGCCGAGGGCGAGATCATCACCCTGGCCACGTCTCCGGTCCGGCCGCCGGCCATCAGCCAGGTGCGCTGCCCTGCCGGTGTTCGTGCTCGCGCGGCCGTGGCCACGCGCACGCACCTCCGCCTCCGCCTCCGCCTCCCACCCCGCCGCTGCTGACCCATCCATGGCCCCTGCCGGTCCCCGGCGCCCAGGTCCCCGGCGCCGGGACGCCCACTCCCCCGGCCGACGAGGACTTGCTGGCCGCCGCGCCGGCCGCCGAGGCTGCCGCCGCGCCAGGTCCCGACGTGGCTCCCCCGGCGGCCGAGGCGGCCCCCGAGCCCCAGGCCCCGGCCACCCCCGGGGCCGCTGGTCCTGCATGCAGCCCGGCCGAGCGCCGGGCCCTGCCCCTGCGCGAGCTCCTGGCCACCGGCGACCTGGCCGCCAGCCTGGAGCTCTTCTCGCCGGAGGGCGGCCTCGGCACCAGCATGCAAACGCACCCCACGCCGGATGTGGTGCTGGCTGGGCAGCATCTGACGCCGTTGACGTCGCGCCGGCGCCGGCCCAGGTCGGCGGTCGATTCGAGCCTGGTGCTGGCCTCCTGCTCGTCCTCCTCCGGCTCGGAGGGCCACCTTTCGGACGGCCATGACCACGAAGACCCGGAGGACGACGAGGACCTGGGCTTCATCGACGATGACGAGGAGGATGGCTTCCTGCTGTCGCCGTCGGCGCTGCGCGGGGTGCCGCTGCTGGACAGCGACCCGGAGCTCTCGCCCCGGCGCATCAATCGCCAAGCCCGCCGGGCCACCTTCCACTCGCTGGCCAAGACCACCGGCCGGGCTCTGGACAGCAGTGTCGACAGCACCGGCAGCAGCCCGCACGGCAGCAGCACCGCCAGCAATGGCAGCCTGCTGTCCTCGTCGCTGGACGCGTCGCTGGCCGCCGGCCCGGCCGGCCTGTCGGATGTGCCCCTCAGCGTGGAGGACTTCGACCCGGCCGGCATCCAGCTGGACCGGCTGATGTTCCACTCGGAGAAGAAGGCCCTGCTGCAGTCGCTCAACCACCTGACGCAGGAGCGCGAGGAGGTGGCCGCCCAGCTGGACGCCGTGGCCACCGCCGGGCAGGATGTCCTGGCCGAATTGACGGCCGCCTGTGCCGCCGATGACACCGAGGCCGAGAGCGTGCAGCTGGTCGGCCTGCAGCAGGCCCTCGCCCAGCTGGCGGCCATGCGCCAGCAGCTCCAAGCCCGCCAGCAGGCGGCCACCGAACGAGCCGACGCCCTGGCCTCCGAGAGGGAGACCCTGCTCGTGGAGAAGGAGGCCCTCCTGGCCGAGAAGGAGACCCTCCTGGCCGAGAAGGAGACCCTCCTGGCCGAGAGGGAGGCTGCTGCGGCTGAGCGCGACGCGGCCGTGTCCGACCGCGAGGCGCTCACCGCCGAGCGCGATGCCCTGCTCTCCGAGAAGGGGGCCCTGGCCGCCGAGCGGGAGGCCCTTGCCCGGGAAAAGACCGGTCTCCTGGCCGAGCGCGATGCCGCCGTCGCCGACAGGGAGTCCATCCGGGCCGAGCATGAGGCCCTCGCCACGGACAAGGCCAGCCTGGTGGCCGAGCGTGATGCCGCCCTCCTGGAAAAGGCATCCACCATGGCCGAGCGCGATGTCCTGCTGGCGGACATCGCCTCGCTGACCGAGCAGACGCGCGACTTGGCGGCCCAGTGCGCCGCCAACAGCATCCAGCAGGCGGACATGGCCACCCGGCAGACGCAGACCTCCGAGCAGCTGGCCGGCTTGGTGGCCGAGCATGCGGCCCTCACGGCCAAGCATGCGGCCCTGCTGGAGCAGGGCGACGCCTCCGCCCAGCAGCTGGCCGACCAGCTCCACGCCCTGACCGCCGAGCGTGATGCCCTGACCGCCGAGCAGGAGA